CGCAGCTCCCGCACCATCACCGGCTGAAACGCCGCAGCTCTGGGGCTCCGGAGCAACCGCCCAGAGCCCCGGGCACGCAGGCAGCTTCACCCAGTGCCGCGGTGCTGGTTGGTACTGGGATGCAGGCGCTGGTTTGGGGTGGGTGTGCCCACTCCTGTCCTGGGGAGGGGGAGACGGTGCAAGTTCCCTTCCCTGTGCAATCGGTGTGTCCCTGCTTTGCTCAGGCCCTGCTCCCTCCCTGGGCCCCATACGCCCCACAGCTCTGCTACCCATGGTGGGAGAAATCAGCTGCAATAAACCCTGGAGCCAGACTTTGCTGTCTCGTGTCTACCTGCTGCTGCAACACTGCACATCATAAGTGTGTGGGGATCACTCTATCCAGTCCCGGGGTGGTGGCCCTGGGGGAAAGAAGGTCTGTTATGCAGGTCCTCTCCTGGGCAAGGAGACACACTTGCCCAAGGGATGCCAGATCTCCCTGGGACATACAGAACTCACCTTCCACAGGACTGGCATGGTGGCTGCTGGTTTCAAGATGATTTGCTCAGGCCAGGTCAGCTGTGGAGCTGATTCTGCTCCCAGGCTGAGCTGGTGCAGAGCATGCAGGGGTTTTGTGCTGATGTTTGTTTTTCTGAAATATTTCAAAGTTCCATAGTGAAAGGCCTGATACCGATTCTCCCTGCTGCTGTCTGTTCCCAGCATCTGCCTATAGCATGAGCTTTTCTCCCTTTGGTACGGTTGTTGTACACAGCTGAGTACTGCTGTTGCATCTAATTCGATCTGTAGTTTGGTTCTCAGGTCTCTGGATGAGATTCATTCCAATGGCTTGTTCCAGCCACTGTGGCTGTAAGGCTACAATTAGCCAACAGGACCAGCAAAACCCAGTATATTGCAAAACCCTCGCTCATAGTTTGCCCCTGTCCATTGGCTGGGTGGTTGCTCTATGCTGGGAAAGGGAAGAAAACACCACAGATTGAAGTGTGGAGAAGGTGGTGGGCTCCCCTGGGGGTGTGAGAGATCCGGGTAAGCCAGTCCCATTGTACGCTGTTGCAGGGGCGAAATGTGGTTGTGGATCTCCTTTGCGACAGATGTAAGTTTGAACTTAGGGCTTGAAAGAAGCCACAGTTCCTCTCCTCTGTCTTTGGAAGAAAAGCCGAGCTCAAGGAAGGCTTGTGGCTGTGAATTCTGAACAACTTGGGGGTCTCAGGCCAAGATCTGTGACTGAGGTCCCAGAGCACCCTGCAGAGCTGTGGCAGTGCCATGTTCTGAAGAGGCTGCACAGGCAGCCTTGGCTGGAGGCATCAGCAGCCCTCATACATGTGGAGATGAATGTGTGAGGGTGCTGCAAAGGCTTCCCGGTTTGAGCTGACTTGAGAGTAGCATTTCTGGACTGAGAGATATATTTGGTGGTTTAAAAAACCATTTGCACTCCAGCCTGGATGTACAACCTAACTAACTGTAGGGGAGAGGCTTGACAGAAAAGGGCTTGAGGTTCCTGGACAATTTGCCCAGGAGTCAGCAACGCACCCTTGCAGTTGAAGGTGAGCTGCATCCCAGGCTGTATTAGCAAGAGTGCAGCCAGCAAGGCATCACTCCCCTCTGCTCAGCACTGGCAGACCACATCACAGGTGCCATGTTCACTATTGAGCTAGCCAGTGCACAGAGATATCACCACACTGGAGCAAGCTCATATGGACCCAAGCTGATCCAGGCCTCTTGAAATTCTGGGATACCTGCGATGTCAGGGTGCCTCAGCTCTTAAACCTGCCCCAGATAGACCAACCATGAAGTGCTGTGTGGCCTTGCAGTGCTGTTGTCCCTTTCTTCCCTGTCCACTCTTCCAGTTATCTCCCAAGGTCTATCAGCCAGCATTCAGAAGGTTAACAAAGCAGGATGATGGTGGCCTGGCCTGCTGTCTCTGATTAGCTCCAGGTCATGGTTGGTAGGGCTGAACTGAGCTGATGCTTCCTTCCTACCCTCAGTGCCTGCTCTTGGCCATGTGGTACTGCATTCCCTTTTTGAAAGATCCTCATCTTGAAACCCAACTCTTTTCTTTAAGTGAAAATTTTGTCTTTAATTCCCTGTTTGAGTCTTATGAAAAATTTTCACTTTGAAAGTGTTTTCTTACTGTACCAGGACCCTCAGGTCTGCTCCTGGCCAGAAACTGGCAGCAGTTGCGAGAAGTTCTGAAACAAATGAAGGACATTTGCACATGTCTGTGCAAGTTCTGAAAGCAATTTTATTCTGCAGGATAAACACAGACTACAGCAGGGATATGGTGCATACATGGCCTGCCTAGGCTCAGAGCAGCTTAGATCAGGTTAGCTAGTGATGACTGATATTTTTCTGTTGAACTCATCTGTACATGCAAAGCAAAAAGAGAATAAGACCTTGCTGGATGAGGAGGGTTTTAGGTTTCTGAGCACAGTTTTCTCCCCAGAAGGAACATGCTTGGAAACTGCAGCATTTATAAAGACTTGTTTTAATAATGATCCCTAAAAACCCACCAGAGGTGAAAGGCCAGAGACAAAGCAGGGAGCTTTGCTGCTTTTCAAGAGAAAACAGCTCTTGATATGCAGGAACAACCCTATCCACCCACAGGCTCCCAGCCAGAAAAATGGGCCCCAGCAGGTCACTGGTCTGGCCAGTGTGTGTGCCCAGTGCCCAGTGCAGCCAGGAGGGGGAAAGAGCACTAATGGAACGGAGCTGGGTTGATGAGGATGGCAGAAGCTTTGCAGTTCCCGTTGCACAGGCTGCCCCATGTTATGCCCCCGTTGACGTTCAGCCGTACAGAATAACACGCTGAGTACCACCACCCGCCCCCAGAGCGGGAGGCACAGTTCCCGCTGTAAGTGTCCTGATCCAGGTCTTTTGTGGAGAACTTCATGTTGTTGTGCACATTCCTGGGATTGTCTGAGTCCATGGCATCCCCTGCCAACCCCGAGTACACTCCCAGCCTCAGCCGGTAGCCCTGGGACTCATCTTCCAGGCTGAAGAGATTGTAGTCTGCAAACTTGGTGTTGTTTGCGGCATCCCAGATGACAAACCTGACCTGGTAGACCTTCTGGTTGGAGATCTGGTGGATGTACTCAGTGCCCAGCCAGTACTCGGTGTGCACGTTCCCAAAGCCGTACTTGTAGGTGCTTTAGCCCGGGGCTCTGCCGGTTCCTCTGGATGACCGTCCAGCCCCCGTCTGCCACATTCATTTCGCAGTACACCACGATGGGGTGCAGTCCTGTGGGCTGGATGACGTAGACGCCGCTGGGGCTGCCAGCAGGGACCTCGCTGCAGTCCTTGGGCCAGCCTGGGGCAGGAGAGAGGGTGATTTAATAAAAGGCTGTGCAACTGGAAAAGACCATTTTTCACCCTGTGGCAGGGTAGAGGGACACCTGGCCAGAGTACCTGGGGGTTAATCAGCTGTCCCAGCCCAGAGAGGTTGTGCTTGGCTGGGGGTGAGAATGGGCTGGCCTCAGCTCTCTGTTCCTCTTCCATGTGGGACACCTAACAGGAGGCAGCCCCAGTGAAAGACCCCAGACCCTGGGTTATGCTGGTATCAGGCCAGGAGACTGATACGGGCACCAGTGGGCTCCTTTGTGTCTCCTGAAAAAGGGGCTGTGTCACTAAAACAGACTCATGCTGGGGAGGACCTCACCCCTGCCTGTGACTTGAGGGAACAGGAGAAAAATGACCCCTTCAAGCACATAAACACCCTTACCAGTCTGCACAGTGCACACACACACACATGCACACGCACAGCTCTGCAGCCTGTGTTGGATACACCTCCTCACATCCGCCATCCTCCATTCTGGATCAGGTACAGGACTAGGGATGGTGTAGGGCCTTTCCCCACCCGGAGCTGTCCATACATCAGCACACAACACTGGATGTCCCCTGTGCTGGCAGGTGTGGTATCCCCATGCCTTCAGCTCACTTGCTGCAGGACCTCTCACTGCAGTTAAGGTCATCCTTCCAGATGGGCAGAGCTCCTCCCAGCTGAGCAAAGGCTGGGGTTGATGCCTCCTCTCCCCAGCCTGCCTGCCTGTAGGGAGGTGTTTTTTAGATCTGAGACATCACAGCACACCCTCTCCCAAGTGTCATTTTACCAAGCCTCCACTGGCCCAGAGCATGGGCTGGGGCTATTCACCAGCCAGAGCTGATCCAGACCAAGGAACTGAAAGGGGTTGGTGAGACCATTGTGATGGCCATGGGATGCTACATACTGTTTTTCTTCAGAGCACTCGCCGAAGTGTTGGAGGGAGATTTCCTGAAGATGTTTAGGGTTTGTATATGTATGGAGTGGCCTGGGGCAGCCAAGACCAGCACGCAAGCAAGGAATAGAAGGCACTGGGCTGCTAGAAAGGGAAAAGATGGAGAAAAGATGAAATGTGACCCTCCCTCCACAGAGGCAGGAAATCCCATGGCTCCAGCACTGCACAGTGTATTACAACCATGTGAGATGCAGGAGTGCACCAAGCATGCTGGGCAGCATCAGACTAGTCCATGCAAGCTGGAGGGCTTGCCAAAAAGCCTCAACTCTTTTGCCAAGGGGTAGACAACCTTGCTGTTTTCCCTTGACCAGCTCCTGAAAAGTAATGCATGAGATCGTTTTGGGTGGAGCAAAGCACCCAACAACCAACTGAGCCGTGTTTCATTCCTGGCCCCTGAAGCAGGGGACTGGCTGGGGTGAGCCAGAAGGCAGGGCTCAAGCTGCTGGTCTTCAAAGGTGAGGCAGGTGAACATGCCCTCAGAGGGCACCGATGCCACTGCTCCCCATCGGTGGGCACAGAGCCTCTCCCTGTTGCTGGGCTGCCCTATCTGTGCTCTTCCCCTTGCTAGCAAGGAGCGCCCCGCTCCCCAGCCCAGTACTCACCCATGGTGTCCACGCGGGAATGCCCTCTGGAGAGAAAAGCTGTGGACTGGCAGGTCTCAGAGGCATTTGTAGTGCCCTCTGCAGTGGGCGGGGTGAGTGGGTCCTACCCCCACTCCCAGCCTCCTTTCCCTGGAGGAGGAAGTCAGGCTGGGTTTCCCTTCTGCCCTTAGAAAACACAAGCCGAGATGAAGGTGCCTGTGGTTCTAGGTGCATAGCATAACCCCCATGCCAGCAAGAGTCCTTGGAATGGACTCTCTTCTGTGAGTGCTTAGCTCCTTGGATGGAATTTCCCCGGGGAACAGCATATTTGGGAGCTTTCAAGAGTGGAGCTCAGTAAATAAACACTTGAATGCCAGTCACCACCCAGTGTGGAGAGCAAACGCTGGTGACGTCCCCGCCTCCCGCCATCACAGCAGGGTGCTGCCAGGTCAGTTGGTTCTTGTTTAATGTGCTTTTGACAAGCCTGGCGCAGCTCTTGGTGGGGAAGTCAGAGCAGCCCCGAGGCTCCCCGGCAGGCTGACTGTTGTGGGGCAGTGCTTGGAGCGGCTGGTGTTTCGTGGGCTGCATGACAGCAGGCAGAGGGTTGTGGCAGAGGTGATCGCCGTCTGGGGGAAGCAGGAGAGGTCTCCGTTCCCCAGTGGGCCGCAGTCCTGCTCTGCAGGGACGCAGCTGAACGGGCCTGCTGAAAGGCCCTGGCTGGGAGGCTGCTGCAGGCCCGTGGTGGTCTCTGGGGCACTGGGTCATGCGGGATGGGTGGCTACAGAGGAAAGCGCGTGTCTGCCCAGGAACAGAGCGAAACCGGGTGGGTGGAGGGCAGCAAGAGGGATCCCGGCATGTACAGAGGGGAAAGCAGAAAGCCTGATCCTGCGTGCGTAGGGAGGGAATGAAGGGGATCTGAGTGTGCATGGAGGGAAAATGGAGGGTGATTGAGGGTGCACAGAGAGACTGGATGGGATCTGACAGCAGAACCCATAGGAACTGAGCACCCACAGAAGGGATGGTGGGATCTGAGCGTCAGCAGAGGGCACTTGTGCAAGAGAGAGATGTGAGTGTGCACAGAGGGGAGAAGTCAGCACTAAGCGGACACTGAAAGGAACAGAGGAGATCTGAGTATGCAAGGAAGGGAACAGAGGAGATCTGGGTGCATACAAAAGGAAATGGAGGACGCGGGAGCGTACAAGGCAGGGACTGGAGGGGATCTGTTTATGCAAGGAGAACAACAGAGGGGTTCCAAGAGAGCACAACGAGGGGAATGGAGAGGATGTGAAAGCAGATGGATAGGAATGGAGAGCATCTGAGAATGCTTGGAAGTGAACCGAATGAGTCCGAGGGGATCTAGAAGCACCCAGAAGGGAACAGTGGGAATTTGAAAGCATGTAGAGGGGGCATGGTTTGGATGTAAAGGATGGCAGGGACTGGGGGGTGCACAAAGGGGAGTGGACGAGATCTGAGCATGCACGGATGGGAACTGCGGGGTTCCAAGGCACAGGTTGGGGAGCAGAGAGGATCTGCAAGCACTCAAAATGGAATGGGGAGAAACTGAGGATCCACAGGGGGGAACAGAGGGAGTCTGAGTATGCAATAGAGAAGAATGGAAGGGACCACAGTGGCATGAGGGGGACTAGAGAGTGCATGGAGAGGAATGCACACAGAATTGAATCAATGGATTTCATGTGCCATCCGATGCTCCCCAGGGTCTTTTAATTGTCCTCTGGTGCAATGCAGAAGCTTCCGTTTTGTCCTCTTGTCCCCTAAGAATCATTCCATTTACCTTTTGGTGCACGCAAAGGAAGGTGCACCTTTGGAGGCCTCCAATGTCCCTCCTGTGCAGCTCAGACTCCTCTGTTTGCCTTCTGGTGCCACCTAGAGCCTCCCGTTTCCTTTGCAGTGCATCCCAGTGTCCTACCTTTGCTTTCATTTACAAACCAGAGCCTTCCGTATGACCTCAGGTGCTCCCCAAGCCCTCCACTGCCTTCTCATGCACCCTGCTTCCCTTTGAAAATCCTGTCACCCCAGAGGCCCCCAGAAGGGACCTCTTTGTGCAGGATGCTCAGTAGAAAGTCAGGATAAGACTCAGGTCTGGAGAGAGTGACAGTACATTGCTTGTTGGGGCCACAGACCCGGCATGTGTGCAGAGATAGGGCAGGTCCGAGGTCAAGCCTGGAGGCCAAGTCAGCGGGTTCCATCAGGGGCAGAACTGGAGGAATGAGACTGGGCGCAGACATAGCGTGTAGCCAGTGGTAAAGGTGCAGTTTAAAAGCATCTCTCCGTGGGAAGGAGGAGCAGGGTCTCACTTCTAGCTTTTTTCACAACAGCCCTTTTCAGTGAAGGAGCTGACTTTGGATGTAGCCAGCTAAACTCCTTAACGAACTACACTCTGAGAAGGGGCAAAAGACTCAAGGGCACTGGCATTGGCCCACCCTCACAAGCAGTAACATGGGAATCTCTGGAAGAAACCATGCAGAGCCCTGTGGTAGGGGGACCCATCCCTGATGGCTCCTGGGGCCAGCTCCTGCCTCAGGATCTGGGTCTTCCCTTCCCACAGGGAAGCACAAGGATCCCAAGTGCCAAAGACAGGTTTGTGCTTCCATAACTAGGGCCAAAGGACAGAGTCTATGGGTGCCCAAGTGCCACAGTTACTCTAAGGTCTCTTGGGTAATGACATCTTCATGTGTTCTTCTCCCATCTGTAACAGTGACAGTGTTTAGAGCGGGTTGGTTAAGGGTCTGGGTGCTCTCTGCTAATTCAGAGGCCACAAACCTATGGGAGGCCCTTGATTCAGCTAGAGGATTATTTTGGAGGGTGTGCCCATCATGATTCAGTCTACCGTGTCCATGTCTCTCTTGCACTGGGGAACCCAGAACCGGCCTCATCAGTGCTGAATAAAGGGAAGGATCACCTCCTTTGACCTGCTGGCAAGACTCCTCCTAATGCAGCCCAGGATGCTGTTGGCATTCTTTACTATGACTGTACATTGCTGGCTGATGGTCAGTTTCTTGCTAGCCAGGATTTCCGTGTCCTTTTTCACAGAGCTACCTTGCAGCTGGGTGGCCCCAGGATTGACTCCTGGAGCACACCACTGGTGACCAATGTCCAGCTGGACTTTGTGCCACTGATCAGCACTCTCTGGGCCTGTACATTCAGCTGGTTTTCAGTCCAGCTCCCTGTTCACTTACCTAAACCCGCATTTTGCCTGTTTGTCTGTTAGGATGTTTTGGGAGACATCATCAAAAGCTTACTAAAATCGAGGTAAACAGTATCCACTGCTCTCCCCTCATCCATCATGCCAGTCATTGTAGAAGGCTATCAGGTTACTTAAATATTATTTCTCCTTTGTGAATCCATGCTGACTACTCTAATGGCCTTCTTGTATTTCATGTGCCTGGAAATGGTTTCCAGGACTACCTGCTTCATCACCTTCCCAGGGATCAAGGTGAGGCAGACCAGCCTGTGGTTCGCTGGGTCCTCCTTCTTGCTTTTGAAGATAGGAGTGACATTTACTTTCCTCCAGTCTTTAGGCACTTCTCCTAGTTGCCAGGATCAATCAAAGATCATTGAGAGTGGCCTTGTAATGACATTGGCCAGCTCCCTCAGCACTTGCGGGTGCATCCCATCAGGGCCCATGGACTTCTGTATGTCCAATTTGCTTCAGTATTCTCTAACCTGATCCTCTTCCACCAAGAATACATCTTACTTGCGTCAGGCTCTCCCCGTGATCTCTTGGGCCTGGGATTGCTCAAGGCTGGTCTTCCCAGTAAAGACAGAAGAAGTCATTAAGTAGCCTGGCCTTTTCCATGTCCTGTCTCACCAGGGCCCCTGAATGGGGATTCATCAGCAGACCCACATTTTCCCTGGTACTCCTTTTGTTTATGTACTTGTAGAAATCTTTCTTGCTGCCCTTCACACCCCTTGCCAGATTCAACTCCAGGCCAGCCTTGGCTTTCCCAACCCCATCCCTGAATGGTTGGACAGCATCTCTTTATTCCATCAGCCATTGTATCCTGCTTCCATCTCTTGAACTCTTCCTTGATATGTCTGAATTTACTCAGGAACTCCTGGCTCATCCACACAAGCCTTCTGCTACTTTTTCTTTATTTCCTGTTTGTTTGCAGGAAATATATAAGAAAAACATAATGTAAGCATATATAATAAAAACTTGTACCCTGTCTCCATCTACTTACTTGCTTTTGGGGTGAGGAATGTGGGCTGGTGGCCTCCACTTCCATGGGTTCCTTTGCTTGGAGGGGCAAGGCAGGTGGTGCAGAGCAGGGCACATCACCTCTGAGGATGCTGGTACACTCTCTAATGTGTACACTCAGCCTCCTCTCCAAAGCGATAGGAGGCTTGAGAGCTGCCTCAATATCTGGCCGTCTCATCACTGAGATCCTGTCCTAGTTTCAGCTGGGATAGAGTTAATTTTCTTCATAGAAGCTAGTGTGAGGCCATGTTTTGGATTTGGGATGAAAAAATGTTGATAACATACTGATGTTTTCAGTTGTTGCTAGCAGTCACAGACTGTCCAGCTTTTCATGCTGGCCTGACTGCGAGAAGCTGGGAGGGGACACAGCCAGGACAGCTGACCCAAACTGAACAAAGGGGATATTCCATACCATATGATGTCATGCTCAGTATATAAAGCTGAGGTAAGAAGAAGGAAGGGGTGGGGGGACGCTCAGAGTGATGGCATTTGTCTTCCCAAGTAACCATCACATGTGATGGAGCCCCGCTTCCCTGGAGATGGCTGAACACCCGCCCGCCCACGGGGAGTGGTGAATGGATTCCTTGTTTTGCTTTGCTTGTGTGTGTGGCTTTTGCTTTCCCTATTAAACTGTCTTTATCTCAACCCACGAGTTTTCTCACTTTTACTCTTCTGACTCTCCCCTATCCCACCATGGGGGGAGTGAGCGAGCGGGGGGAGGGAGTGAGCGAGCGGCTGCGTGGGGCTCAGTTGCGCGCGGCGGTTAAATCACGACAGACCCTCAGTCAGCCACAAGCTGCGGTGGGCCATAAGGGCTCATTCCCCTGGGACAGTCCCTTTGGGCAGTCTCAGGAACAGGATTTTGTACTTGGCAGCTGATGGCTTCTGTGCTAGAGCTCCAGGAAGGCTGTCTGAGCTGCTGCTGTACAGCTGAGCTCCCTGCAAATGGCTCCAGAGCACTCGATAAGGAGTCAGGGTCCTGGACGACAGGGTCACTACAGTCCATGCAGCAAATTACTGTGTAGCAGCCACTCCACTGTGGGACTGCAGCTCTCTTTCTGCCCTCGGCTGCTGCATGTTGTGCTGAGGCCCTCCGGTGCTTGCCATGGCCTGGGGCAGAGACAAGAGAAGAGCCCAAGAGATCTGAGAGGAAGAGAGCGCTCACACCCGGTGGCTGCATCTTTCTCTCACCCTCCTTTCCCAGTTCTGTATGCTCCTGTCATCAGCATTCAGAGTGGGAAAAGCTTCATCCCCTTCCCATGGCTTCATGCAGCCATCTGCCTGAGGGAAACCTGTGACTGAAAGGAGTGTGATTCCCACCCCTGCACCCCCCCGTCCACTTAGCAGCAGCAGAAATAGGCAGGAATCACAAAACCAGAGTGTATTCCTGGGAAATGGTACTACTACCTGGATGAGAAATGAGAGCCGCAGCCTCCAGGATGAGCACACAGTTGCTCTCTTGTGTCACCAGGCGACTGCAAGAGGAGAAGGTCCTTGCTTGGCTCAGGACCGGCCTCTGCGGGATGGGGCAGCACAGGCTGGGGCTTCAGCCCAGAGGTTGCAGCTCAGGCTCCTCAGCCATAACCCGCACTGGTAACATTGCAAATTTAAATACAGCTGGAATGTCAGCCCAGGTGATGGAAGCATTTTACCAACTGCTTGGGAGTGAATGCACCAACGGGATATGGGCATGCTCTGCATGTACTCTGTTTGCAGCCTGTTTTTTCATACTTTTCTGGTAGTTGTTTTTTCTAACATAAGTCTAGGTACCTTTAAAGGCACCATAGAGCACTGGAGATGCTGTGATTACAGTCTTAAGGGGTTTTTTTCTCTCTTCTTCAAGGAATCCTATAGCATTCTTCCTCTACTGTTTGGCCATTTTGTTACAGACATAACGTCTAAAAAATCTGTACCAGCAATTTATCCAAATTACGATATTAAAGTCAACTGGGTTATACAGTGGTATAAAAGTAAATATGTGATAGAATGCATTTAGGCAAACAGTCAGAGGAGAAAGTAACTTAGCTTTTGTAGTAGCCATGACATATATAAAGGTGTTATTATAATATGAGTATCTTTGATACATCAGTATCAAGAGACAGCTTTCCTACAGGTAGCAGCCTGAACCTCCCTTAGTGCTAGCTGTTGAAATGCAGGGTCAGGAGTGTCAGAACTATGCCCAGTACCCAGTTTTTCTGTATGTAAGCCCATAGATTTCTGTATGCAAACCCAAGACCTCCAGATCTCTACCTCCATCATAATCCAGATTTTCAGAACTCTGTGGTTCTGTTTTTAGACTGTTCCCATTTGCACATGCCACCCCAAATGCAAGAAAATCAATTGCAGAAATTTTTGTCCTCAGGGATGGATCCACATGTCAAGCTCCCTTAGGGTGAATCCAGGCATCTGGGATCTCCTGGGGAATCTTGTTGTCCAGGTCTGCGGGATGTCCAGGGGTCACTGAGGTCTAGGAGGCTCCAGCATTGCCAGGTGGCCCTAGGAGACAGAAAGAGGAATGGAGAAGGAGGAAGAGGCAGGACAAGACCCTATATCCCCATTTAGGGGGTGGGAGGGGATCAGGGGGCATCTGGGGAGCCCGAGGGGCAAGCTGGGGAGTCCTGGGAGTAACTGATGGGTCTAAGGGTGAAAGTATGGGATGCTGGGGGCAACTGGATCAACTAACTGTAACTGGAGCCCTCAAAGGGACAATGGGGGTTCTGGGGACAATGGGGGAAAGTGGTAGGGTCTCAGGGGCAATTAGGGAATCGGAAGGAAGCAAGGCAGCCTGGAGTGGTCCTTGGTGTAAGGGAGGGGTCCCAGAATGGGCCAGAGGACAATGGGACTCCTGGGGGGAAATAGAGGGCTCTGTGAGTTTAGGAGTCCCGGTAGTCTTCAGTCCCCCTTGGACATCTGGGTCCCCCTGCGTTTGTAGGGAATCCCAAGGGACCAAGGATCCAGGGGTGCTTGGGAGTCCCATGCCAGTCTGTGGAGAGCTGCGGAAGCATGGGGGTTTTTAGGATAAGGTTTACCAGGTCAGGAGGACTCACACCAGCAGCAGCACGAGGGCCATGGAGCCAAGTGCCAGCCCCAGAGCTGCCATGTGGTGCAGGGGGGTCCTGCTGTAGGGCCAGTGCAGCACAGCTCTGAACCGAGCCTGGAGCTTCTGCTCTTCCTCCATGCTTCCACCTGATACTGTGGGGACCCAGGCATCTCGGGTCATGGGGCACTGCCCCCAGGGACCCAGGTGTCTGCAGGTCCCTGCTCTACCCCATGTGTCCTGCTGCCCCCAGAGGAGCCAGGCATCAGGCAACATCTGCTCCATTCCACCTGCCCACCATGAACCCAGACATCCTGGCACCCTGCTCACACCCCCATGCACCCCACCTCCCCACCCCATGGACCTAGGTGTCTGGGGTCCTGCTCCACCCCACACGGCTCATTGCCCCAAGGGCACTCAGGTGTCTGGGCGCACCGTTGAGGTAGAAGTACTTGCGGACCAAGGGCTCAGAAAGGACCCCTAGGCAACAGGCGATGGTTCCCGGAGTGGGGTCCTGGAAGGTCATACTGAGAGGTCTCTCTGCACTCCCCTGCAGCTCCTCAAACAGCGCCAGATCCTGTGTGCGCAGCTGGGGCATGGAGAAACATATCAGCACAGCCTGGTCCACCAGGTACGTGAAACAGCATACATGTGTATGCAAAGACACCCATGTCCTGGACATGCTTGTCATGTCCCCTTCATGCTTCTTGTACCTTTGCTCATGCATGTGCATACACCTCATGTCCCACATGTACTTCTCATGCCCTGCGTGTGTGCACATGAGCATGCACAAGCAGAGCATATGCAAAAGTCACTTCCTTCACACACATACGCACACAAGTGCACATGAATCTGCAAACACACGAGTGACCTGCCTTCTGCTTGCATGTGCCCTTCACATGGGTGAGCACTTGCTTGCATCCTGTGCATGCTTATACACATGCTACTTACAGCACACATATCTACTGTGTAAGCAATACCTGTATCTGTTGATAGTCCCCATGCCAGGCACACAACTGTGTGCATGCAGGCCTTGCTACCCATGCCTGGTCCTCTCAGGAATGTCTATGTACACCCTTGCACATGCAAGTGCAACTCACATCCTTGGCAAACATCCAGGTAATGGGCAGGTCAGGGGGGGTGGCAAAGGGCACGTCGCAGCGCAGTGTGATGGCTTCATCCGCACGGGCCCACATGTCCTGCACTGGGATCATTGACAGGCATTTGAGTTCACATCTGCTCAAACAGAAATGGTTGTGCTCCTGTGCGACTGCACATGCTCACATGCTTGCAGTGGGGATGGGTAGGCATGCAACTTGGCACACTCTTGTGCACTCATGGTGGGCCCAGCAGGCACGCCCACATGTGAGAAATGAGGGTTGCCCCCAGAGCCCTGGAAGCACCCAGCTCCAGGGTGGGGTATAGTTCAGCCTGGATGCCTGGGTCTACCATGGCCCCATACCTGGGCAGTCCAGGGGAAACTGGCAGTCCACGAGGCGGCAGGTAGCACACTGGAAGACGCGGGCAGCTGGCTGGTACCCTGGGAGGGAGAGACTTGGTGGTTCCAGGATGGGAGATGTACTAGGGGACAGGGAGTGGTAAGACAGAGCGATGAGCACTTACCACAGGGGGGGACGCAGGCTGGAGCTGGTGGGGAGGAAGCAGCATTAGACTGGGGATCATTTGGGATCCACAACCCTATGATGAGTTGCCAGGCCTTAGGCCTTTTCCAGCCCACATGGGGTCCCTTGGAGTTTCTCCAGGATGGGGGTGCCAGGGGTGGGGGTTCCTGGGGTATAGATGCCCAGGGTGGGGGTCTCTGTGACAGTCCCTTGAGTTCTGGGTGGGTGCCCCCACTGGCTCCATACCTTCCTCCAGCTGGCTCAGCTTCACCCAGATTATGTTGATGGCTTCCTGCAGAGACACCTCAAAGGGCTCTGGGGTGTCCCAGATGTCCAAGTGAGACAATGTGCCCTCTGTCCGAGCCCCATAAACCCTCCCTGGACCCCACAGATTGCCTGTACAGCTCACCTCAACCCCATACATCCATCATGGAGTCCCATACATGCCCAAATACCCCCTCAAAACCCCCCAGGAAGCTGTATAACTTGAAGCCTATATACCCTCAGGATTCCCCAAATATCCCCTTAAACCCCCCAGACCTCCATATACCTTATATTTCACCACACTCCCCTATTCAAGGCCTTCATGTCCCATTCCCCTTGCCCCATGTCCTGGCCCTACCCCCTCACATGTCCCATGTCCCCTGCTCACTCAAGTCCCTCTGCTTCTCCAGAAAATGAAGGGCATCCATGATGATCTCCCGAAGTGCCTCACGCTGCCCTGACCCTGGGACCAGTACAGCGACACTGGGACCAGTACAAGGTTTGGGTTGGAGGTTCAGGGATGGGAGGGTCCAGTAAGGGCTGAGGGTTTTCAGGGGTTCCTGGAGTCCTGGTCAGGATTTAGGGATACTGGGAAGGGTCATGTATCCCTGGGGATTCCTGAGGTCCTAGGTAGGGCCAGGGGGTCCCAGGGAGTCCCCAGTGTGTCCCTGGTTAGGGTTGGGTGATTCTCAGGGTCCCAGGCAGGTCTGGGGTTCCCAGAGGTTCCTGGGGTCCAGGTCAGGACTGGAGAGACCTTGGCATGATTGGAGTCCCTAGCATGCTTGTCTGGGGTGAGTCCCTGGGGTCTCTGTTTAGGAAAGGGGTCCCCAACTGCCCAGGATCCTGGCCAGTGTCAGTATTGAAAGTGGGAAACTCCAGAGGGCTCTGGGGTCCTGTTCAGGGTGGGGATCCCCCTTGGGATGGAGGTCCCTGGTGGGATGGAGGTGCTAGTCAGTATGGGAGGCCTTGGGCATGGTCCCTGTTGTGTTGGGTGTCCCTGGCATCCCATGACGCACCCACAGTGACAGAGGCAAGTGGCACAGCAGCCTGGACAAGGGCGTCAAGGCAGTGTTGATGCCGGGGGTCCAGAACGGGTGCCCCAGTAATGTCATGGCAGAGCTGTGCCCACTGAATGGGGTTCCCAAAGCAGAGCAGGCAGGGGTGCACCTCAGGGAGCCAGGATGCCAGGGCCACCCACGACCACAAACCAGGTACCCCTGCCTGGATGCCTGGGTTTCCAGGGAGCCGGCGGACCAGCACCAGCATCAAGGGCACCCAGCACCACCCCATGGCCCCAGAGCATAGCACCCAGATGCCTGGGTCCTGAGGGAACAGCAGGGTTCCTAGGCGGAGCCCAGGTGCCTAGTTTCCCCAGGGAACAGCAAGGTTCCTAGGCGGAGCCTGGGTGCCTCGGTCCCCAGGGGATTCTAGTTCCTAGTGGGGTTCCTAGGCAGGTCCCAGATGCCTGGGCCCCCTCTTGAGAGGAGTGGGGATACCCAGGCACATGGGTCCCCTTGAGTGTGAGAGGCTGGAGAAGAGGCTCCCAGTCCCTCATTTTGGTCTCCTCAAATCCTCTACCTTCAGTCCCTCCCAGTCACATAACTTAGTGTCCCCAAATCCCCTCTATTTAATTGTCTAATTCCTCACCTTCACCCCCTATAATCCTGTCCCATCAGCACTCCAGTCCAGCAGAGACAGGACAGTCTGGATTTGCAGTTCCCAAATCCTCTTCCTTGAAACCTACACAAGGCTTCTCATTTTCATTCCTTCATATCCCATCCCATTAATACCTCCATACTCACTCACCAAGGTGAGCTGCCTGGAGCTGTCCCGATCCGCAGCAGAAAGGTGTCGTCTCCCTACCAGCTCAAGAGATGACCCCCACTCAGCTGGTGGTCATCACCCTCTCAGAAGGAGCTTAGCTATAGTATCCACCCAGCAGAAAGCCATGTCCTCTGTACTCACCAGAGTGGATGTGGCATGGTCCACATTCAGCCAATAGGTAGAGGTAAGCACCTAAGGAGGTGCACTGCAGCAACAGTTTCTCTGATGAAACGCAGTAATGACTTTGCTGGGGCAGCATCTCTACTGCCAAGTGGATTGTGTCATTCTCTGCTGGTCTGGAAGCAGCTGATTTGCAATTATGATCATTCCTGTGATCGATTGATTAATAATAAAATATCATCTGAAATTTGAGCCTCCCTCTTCTCTGAACTATGAAGAATTGACTCATTTTCTGCAGGGAAATCTCATTTAATCTCTTCTCTGAACTGTCATTGACGTATTTCACAATAGAAGAAAGTAGGATGTCTCTTGTGTTGTGTTATTGCAGTTTAGCTTCTGAAAACATACAGAGCACATTCGGAGGATCTTGTGCTGTTCTAACCAGTATTGCTTCTGTTTTTGTCATTGGCAACTGTTGAATTTTGTCAGTGATGTAACTAAGAACTTCAATACATTTCAGTTGCAAAAATGATATGCTGTGCTCAGGCCGTGTATTTATTGATGTTGGGAAGAGTACGACAAAACTGAGTTAAGTGAAAGTAAATGTTTTTGTATTCCAGCACATTCTATCACAGCCGTGCAGCATGCATGCATGCTGGATATCAGGCTTATTCAGCATTATGCTTTACTGCTTCTCCCCCTGCCAGTGGCTTTTTTTCTTTTCCCCGCTTTCCCGCTGGGGTCAGTCACATACGGTAATGCTTATCAGTCCTTCCATTCTCGAACAGAAATTCAAGTATGAAACATGACAAGAATTTGAGATTTTTCTCTAGGCTTACCATAATCTCTTCTTAACTAGGATGCTTGAGCATCTTTAACTTGCCATAAAGGTGGATTTCAGCCTTTGCAGATTTTATGCTATTTAGTCAAATTCTCTCATCTCTTCCTGTAAAAGAATGTCTGAGCTGTCAGGCCTCAGCAGAAGTCTTCTGGTGGCATCCATAGTCCAAGTCAGGCATTCCGAGGATGGAGTCGATTTGGATATGTTGGCTCTTCAAAAATGATTGAAAACATGAAAAACTTCTATCACCGTTTTCCAGCTTGTTGGAATATATTTTTCTGAAGTCGGTGGTGCTGCATATACTGTGGCGAGGCACAGTGGAGGCTTCTGCTGTGATAGCCTATGGGTGCCTGATGGAAACTCAGGGTTGACACTGGAGAAAAAGCTGCCATGCTAAAGATGCTGCTGTCCTTCAAAGTGACATCTCTCTGAGTAGGTGGCAGGAAGGGCTGGACCAGCAGAGTTGAGGTTTGTCGCGCTGCTGCCGCTGGAACAAGTGGGTTGCCAGGGTGTCCCTGCCACCTTGGGGCGCACAGCTGTCACCTCTTCCTCTCCCTGCCAAAGCTGCGGCCGCTGCACGTCAGCAACTCACTCCACGGCCCTGGGTGCTCCTGTCTCAGGCATACTGGGTGGCAGGAGGGTGAGAAGGTGTCAGGCAAGCCTGCGCGTCTTGTACTGTCATGTCAGCTGCTGCCTCCAGGGCTGGCGGTAGGGCCAGGCAGCCCTCCGGCTGGTGGGACTGTACTCCACCACACGTTGGGTGTGTGGTGTCCAGTCACGCACCATCAAGTCACGTGACACACGTGTGATAGTCGCGTGAGGAGCGGGGTTGGAGCCACGTGAAGCATATGCACATGTGCAGACGGGCAAGTCATGGAAATTGCAGCCCTTGAATGAGAATAAAAGAGACTGCTAAGACAAGCCCTTGTGTGTGCACCGCCGCCACGATTGCCCAATACCGAAACATCGAGAAGCTTGGACCCTGGGGTGCCGCGGATCCATGGTGGTGACTTTCCTTGCAACTCTATCCCGAATGCTTGCTTGATTTCTATCTTTTTATTCCATTCTGTCCTATCGCTA